TCACTTCAATTTGTTGTGTGATTTGAATACTCTCTTTGTCAACAAATCCCTCAAGTAGTTAATATGATTGGCTTTATTACTTTAAAATTTTAAATTTTTTTTCATGGTATTAATAAAATACTTGTAAATAAATATATATCATTATTTTGTATTATAAATTTGATATTTAATTAAAAAATAGTGCACAAAAAAAGATAATAGACAATGTAGTGAATATAATCAATTGATGAATTTGAATGTAAAGAATTTTTACATTGGAGAAAAATAAATACAATATAACTAATAAAAATTATTTCTCTTAATTAATTTATTGTTAATGAATAATTTTTTGTAATAAAGACATTGTAGGGACAATGTAGCGAATATAATCAATTGATGGATTTGAATTTTGAATTTAAAGAATTTTTATATTGGAGAAAAATAAAGACAATATAACTAATGGAATTATTTATCTTATTTAATTTATTGATAATGAATAATTTTTTTTGAATAAAGGCATTGTAGACACAATTCTAAATTAAAAAATGCATGTATTATTTTTTGTTATAGCTACTAAATTATTATTTAATTTAATAAGAGTAAAATAGAATACTAATTATGCCAACTTTGATTGGGACGGGGTTCGAACTTAAGAACTTTATTATTGAAATCAATGAGTAAGTTAACGGTGAACTAACAGAAATTAACGGAAAAGATAATATTTAACGGAAAAGTTAACGGATAATCATATTCATTAAGGATAAATTAGGAAATCTGAAGGAAAAATTAAAATCTGATCAATCTGAGCCATTCATTTGATTAAAAAAAATTAACCGCCATTTTTCTACCCATTATAGGCCTAACTGTCTTGGACTCTTATTAGTATAGTAGAAGATATTATCAAATGAAACTGCAGTTATATCAAAATGATACTATAATTGTGGTGAAATGAAACTGCAGTGTATATAAAATAAAATTAAATAACATTTTCACATATTTGAGTCTATAAATATCGAATGAAACTGTAGTTATATCTAAATGAAACTGTAGTTGTGTTGAATTGAAACTGCAGTGTATACAAAATGAAACTGAATAACAAAGTTACATTTTGCGGAAGGGTGCGGAACGACGAAAAATAAATGCCGTTTTTTTTTCATTTAAGAAAACGACGTCGTTTTGATGCGTTATGTACCCCGATGCACTATATAATTTGCCTTGTCTTGCCTCAAGGACCGGGGGATGACCAATGCCATTGTGAAGTTAGATTCTCTCAATTTGTGTCTAGGAGTAATGGGCAAGTTAGAAGACAAGACTTATGTGGGTCCTATAATTCAGGAGTGTGTTGGGAACCGGGTAGCTTGTGCACTTGAAAGAGCTTCAGGTTCTTAAACTTCCTTATTTATTTGAACCGGCAATCTGCCTAGATGTATTATTGATTTGTTTACCGTGGTTTAATAACAAGGTAGTTCCGGTTTCAAAAAAAAAAAGAAAAAAAAAAAAAGCGTGAATCCGATATATTGTGATATGATGAACATTTGAATGCTACCGTCTAACATTGTTCTTGTTGATGTTAATGTTGCCAATTGGCAGTATGCTTTACATAGAATGCAGTATTATACTCATTATGGCTTTTACTTAAAACAGCCTCAACATTTGACTGGACTAATAATTAATCCAATACAAAATTTACACAATTCATGATTTTTCTAATTCAATAGAAGTCCACAGCCTGTACTGTTCAACAAAAAATTGAATAATAAATAATTTCAGTCAAATTTCATTAATCGAATCAGACAGATAAAATGAGATACAAGAAGTATATATTAACAGCTTTCATATATACATTTTCACATATAAGTGTAATGATTTGTTCCATTCCGAGTAGATTGTGAAGAGTTACAAACAAAAGATTACAATCACAAAATAACAACTGCAAAAAAAGACAACGAAAACCACAACCATATAATAATAAGAGAGATGGAAAATTTATACCCTCACAAATATGTCAATTATCAATGTCATCCCTGAATTATTAGTGGTGTAAATATTGTCCCACAATTTTCAAAACGTGACATATAGATGGGAATTGTAATTAATTGTATTAACAATAATGGATTACAAGAGTACAGGACCTAGGTATATATACAAGATCAGATGAGATAGACGGAGACTAGGATTGTGAATCATAAGTAGACTCAAATACATAGATAGAGTCCTAATACTCCCCCTCAAGTACAGGGTATAGACATGACCTGTAATTTGTCTCTAAGAAAAGAAAACCTAGGACCTGCTAGAGCTTTTGTAAATATATCTGCAAGTTGATCTTTGGTGGAGATAAAGTTGACTTGAATCTCTCCTTTGGCAACTTCGTCTCTCACAAAATGATAGTCAATCTCAACATGTTTAGTGTGAGTATGAAAAATAGGATTAGCACATAGATATGTAGCACGAAGATTATCACACCATAGTTTTGGAATAGATATCCCAGTGACGCCGATTTCACGCAATAGGGAGAGAACCCAAATTACTTAAGAACAAACATCAGCTAAACCCTTGTATTCAGCCTCCGTGGAGGATTTTGCCACAGTTCTTTGCTTTTTGCATACCAAGATACAAGATTTGACCCAAGAAATACAGCATACCCACTGGTTGACTTACGATCCTTAGGGCAGCCAGCCCAATCTGAGTCAAAGAAGGCATGTAGTTCTCTGGATGCAGATTTTCGGATACGCAAACCATAAGATAGAGTCCCTTTGACATACCTCAATACAATCTTTGCTTGTTCCTAATGGGTTACCGTAGGAGCATGCATGTTGTTAGGAACAAGTGTACTTAGATTTTGATGATACCAATCTTGCTAGGATCGTAGACCACTCTTTTTAATTTCTTTATCTTGGAACTTTCGTGTTAGACGAAATCAATAGCAACTCACCATGTGATTCGTGACATGCAACACATCTACACGAATCTGAGTTATGCTTAGTACATTAGGTCTACGAGAAGAAGTGAAGAAGAAGAGAAGACCGAGAGAACAACATAGACCGAAAGATGGAAGGGTCTAGCTCTCGTGTAAATATCAAATGACAAGGAAAGTCATTTGATCATTAAAGACAACGAAAGATAAAGACAATCCTTCAAATGAAAATTCCGAGACCATTAAGTCGAAGTCAGACTTAAATAGACAAATTTAATACCCGAGCAAAGAGAATGTTGTCTATGTCTCACAGTTGGGCAATCATCCTAGACAAAAGGAGTCCTAGGAATGATATTCACAAAAACCAAGGAGCATTAAATGATTGGTACTTCATGTCAGCGAAAAAGGACAAAAAGCCATGTTGCTTTTTGATACCAACGGCTACACAGTACAACCGCAATAAATGCTCTATGCCGAAAGATCTTTACACGCTGGTTAATAGGTTTGAAATTTTACCTCTCTCCAATGGATGAATTTTTCCTTACCTATAAATACCTCTCTTCTCCACTGAAGAAGGAGCTAGTTGTTCAACTGATTTTATCTAAGAAAAGCTCTTCAAACAAGTTCATCCAAAAAGCTTTTCATAACCAGTGTTTGTGATTGTGAAGTTTTTAAAGAGGCTCATTCAGATTTCATTCTTCACAATCCTCAAAGAAGTCTTGCATCTTTATAAGAAGATTCATCCGATCATCAAGTCAAGATCAGATTTCAAGCTGTTGGAGAAACACATCAAATCAATCCAACACTCAACTCTAAAGAAGAAGTTGATAGAGGCGGAGTAAACTCAGGAAGTTGAAAAACCTTCCAAGTTGCTGTCACTAGTACAGAAATACACATCCGCTACCCTTGTAAATGGCTATCCGCTACCCTTGTACAAGAGTAGTGGATGTTAGGGTCGCAGAAAGTCCTGGGCTTTCCTCTACCCTTTTACAAGGGTAGCGGAAAGTTGAGTATCCGCTACCCTTCTAACTGTAGAAGGGTAGGGTATATTATTATTATTCTTTTTTTTCATAATCTTTCGCTACCCTTTCTTCCCAGAAAGGGTAGCGGATGGTTTGCTTTTTTACAAAAAAAAAAAACATTTATTATTTTTAAAATTCCCAATTTTTTTAAAAATCTTGTACACCGAATTCATAAACTACATATCAATACAATATTATGAACACAATATTATCAATGCACTTTCAATACAATACTATCAATACATTATTTTATATCAATCAATCTCAATATTTTATCACAATAATAAATTATAAACACATGATACTATTTAATATAAAATAAAAGTTAAAAATGGACTCCACAAGACATTTTTATCACAACTGTGATGTCTGCTACTACCTGAAGTGTTCGCATATTATGCCAGCTTAAGGTAGCCTTAAAGGCACTTGAAACAACATGTAAGGTTTTGATCATTTCAGGTTTCCTCTTCACATACATCCTTTGCAAGAAGTTAGCAGCAAAGCTCATGGCATATCTCTGCAGCAAAAGAACAGTGTTGATAAGCAATTCACTTAGAAGAGCAGCAAAAAGTCATAACAAAAACAGTGGTAGGGCGAGGGCTTAGTTAGTAATTAACAACCTCGGTTAACCAAGTATAGAATCAAAATTGTGACATAAAACGTGACACAAGCAGAAAGGAAAGGGCAATGAGGAGAAATGCAGACACAGCTACTTACGCCTTTGCAAGAAGAGGGAGTAGTCGTCTTTGATGGCTGGGGTAATCAAGCAATAAAACTTCAGGTCCATTTGGTGTGATTGAAAATGCTCTCCTTGTCAATGAGTATCTTATGGCAATTGCTATGCCCACCTGATGAATATCCAAGTCTTATTACAGAACAGTTCTAATTTAATACTTATCAATCTTTCAGAAATACTAAATCAGAGAAGAGTAATGTGTTTTACTTTTGCTGAGTAAGTTACAATGGATGGTATGGTTACACGCCGTGTTGTCAAAGGCGCCATGAATGCTCCCGAATCTTTGAAACACAGTGCCAAGGAACTGGAAGATCACAACAAGACAGACAGACACAATTTAGCATTGGTACTAAAGGTTAATTGAGGTTACCCTGTCAAGATCCTTAATTGCAGTCAGATACTTGCCATCAGGAGAAACATCTGCCACTGAATTCAGAAACACTTAAACATATATACATAAGATTTGAGATTCACAATATACAAAGTAAAACAACTATCTGTTCATTCTAAGACGTATACCAATTTAACCATAAACTGACACAAGTAATGCCCAGTAAGCTGTTTTCACCAGATACATAAACTGTTATGTCAATTCATATATGAGAAGCCTAACAAGAAATCTTTGCCTTAAGAAAAACCATGATCTAAGTCATCTAACAATAGCAAAAATAGGTAATATCCCCAAATAATAATGATGTTGATGTTTATCTTACCACTGGTTTTCAAATCTAGAAAGCACTTCTCTGCAATGTTCTCCAACATTAACTTCCCCAAGGATTTGAAGATGCATGTTAAACTTTTCATGGAAGTAACTTTTGTTATGTCAAGAGTATTCAAAAGCTGCAAAAACTGCTCTTTACAGCCACCACTGGACATTGATAACAGATATTTTTCTTAGAGTTACAAACCTTTAAAGCATTAGAACCTTTAGAGTTACAAACCTAGAAAGATGTCTTTGTCTTTGCCATCATAGAGTGCAAGATTATAACAGTGTTCTTCTACTTTATCAATATTTTTGGTCTTTATAAACAGCAACATCTCATAGTAAGCTAAATTTGGAAGCGAATCAGCATTTCCATCTCTTATGAGTTCACAGTAAAAGTGAAACTCTGGAACCATGCCACAATCAATTAAATACATAAGAACTTGACCATAAAAGTCTTCCTGTAATTGGAAACCTTGCTCCATCATTGATTTCAGAAATTTATATGCAACAGAAAGTTGCTTTAATGACTCTTCTTCATTGTCAATCCTCATTGCCTTTTCTATACAACTCCTTATCAATGCATTATATTCTACCAGGCCAGTTTCCCGTCGAATACCTGAACTGTAGCATCTATTCCCAGTTTCCAGTTTTTAAATCAAGCTAAGCAGGTTTTAAATTTAAATCAAATCATAGTTGTAGAGTGCATCAAAATGGTCTGCTCAAAACTTTGTCAACAATAGAATTCAGAAAATGTTATAAAAATGTTAAGGAATAAAACCTTTATTAAACACATAATGATGCACCCTACTCACAGAAAAAATACTAACCCAATGTTGGTAAAAGAATGAGTTAGGATGGTTAAAAACCTTGGTCATGACAGAAAAAAAAATTACAAATTTGCAGATTTTAACACTTATATCTAAAAAACTATGCAGATACATAAAAAAAAAACTAAAATCAATAGAAGCATCAGAATTTCATTTTCATTATATGCTTGCAAATTAAAATGATATCATCGCTGTATAGATAGGCTTGAAATAAAAAAGATGCCTCACATGATTAGAACATTTAATTTGCAGAAAAGTAGCACATCAACATGCATATGTAATCAGCGTTTACTTAGCTTTTTCGTAGGAACTCGACTATTGATCTGAAAAAATATAAGGTGCGTTCTAACTTCACGTTTTACTCACCCATTAAGGCCCCAAAGTTGGAATTGCATGATACTAAATGTCAAAAAGACTTTACAATGTAGAATTTCAAGATAAAAATCACAAGGTTCAATGAAACTTGACTTTAGACCATCCTAAAGAAAGGCTGTAAATGCTCAAACAGAAACATGCACATTCACCATCCTAATTAATTAATTTCCATTTGCTAGAAATCAGGCTAAAATTTTTTAAGTTTTCTGTACTGGATATAAAGTTTTTTGGGCATTATTAGATACACATACTGACATACTATAAGCAAACCAACTGACTCATTTATATTATATTCACATCATGTTCCTTTCTGGTACATATATATAAAAACCAAAATTCATACTTCTACTCATATTATTCATATAATATGCCACATATACACACATTACTATATAATCCCAACAAAAATAACAACTAAATTCATATTTTTACACATATTAGGGTATAACAACAAAAATAACAACAAATAAATAAAAATGCGAAATAAAAATTATACGGAGTAAAAAATAACAAATATAATATTTATTACAATGATAATTATAAAAAAAAATATAATTTTAACAAAAAAAGTTAAAAATACCTACACAGATCTGGCGGCGGTGGAACTCGCAGAAGTAGCCGCGGCGGCGCTGAGGAGAAATGTGGCGGTGGAGACGGTGGCAGCGGCGTCGTTGGTGGCTGATGAGAGAGGCGTTGGAGTCCTTAGCTTGGTGTTAGCAGCGGCGTTTGATCGAGGCTGAGAGAGGCGGTGTCAGCAGCGTCGATGGGAGGATGAGGGAGGTGGTGTCGACGGCGGAGGTGTGGTGAGGGCGAAGTCGGAGGTGTGGTGAGGGCGACGGCGGAGGTTTGGTGAGGGCAACGCAGAGGTCTGTGGTGAGGGGAGTTGAGGAGACTGGAGAGGTGTGAGAGCGAGATCGATCGATGGTTCTATTTTATATTTTTTTTTTATTATTTTATTTTATTATTATTTTATTATTTTATTTTTATTTGTTTATTAATATAACCCCGCTGCCCTTTCTATGAGAAAGGGTAGTGGAAATTTTATTCGTTTTTTTTATTTTTTAAAAACCGCTACCTTTTTTTCTAAAAGGGTAGCTGTTTCTTGTTCATTTATTTACAATTATGCCACCGTCCTCTTTTTTTTAAACAATACACTACCCTTATTTAAAGAAGGGTAGCCTAAGGTCATATTTCTTTGCTCCATTTTGTACTAGTGTGTCCGGCTTAGTGATCATGGAAGCTAGCTTGAGTAGTTTGTACTAGGAGTGATAGTGCAAACCCTTTCACAAGTTGTGAAAGAAGAGCGGAGCAAGCTTCGTTAATAGCCGAACCACTATATAAATCCCTCTCTCCATGTCTCTTTACTTTTGTGAAACTATCTATCTATCATTGCATGCATTTTGACCATACTTAAACTTTCATAATGAAACCGTGCAAAGTTCATCCTAAAACGAACATTCAATTTCCGATGTGCATAACCCCGAAAGGAGTTAATATGAAAAATCGATTAGAGTGTATTCACCCCCTCCCCCTTCTAGACTCTCTTTCGACCGTACCGGGACTAACAAGTGGTATCAGAGAAGTTACCTTGAACGGTAAACGCTTTGCATTTACTGCCTGGTAGATCCCCTTACAAAAATTCTATAGAAAATCATCATTTTTCAACTTTGCACATGTAACACCCCTAAAATTTGAAACTTTGAATACTTATGAAATAAAGGTAATATTATTATTAAATCCCAAAACAGAGCATACTAATCATAAGTGTTTGGGGTGCTATGCCACATCTGAGCTGGAGAACTCAGATGCACAGGCTAAACTATCTAATAATTATCCTCAAACAACGTCATTACATCATTATGGCACGCAGGCCGAATATGATCTGTTCCTCTAGCGCGCTTCGGAGCTAATCATCTGTGCCTGAAAGCCAAATATATCTGTTCAGCGAATAATACTGGTAACCCACTCCAACGCGTTAAAATACAATATAGGTATATATATATATATATATATATATATATATATATATATATATATATATATATATATATATATATATATATATATATATATATATATATATATATATATATATAGGAAAACCATTTTGAAGCCGGAAGATATATACTTAAGAGACTCTAGCTTTAAAACCAGGAATAGACTCAACAAGTAGGGACAAACACATTCAACAGATATAATCATGCATATAAATATACTAGCATATATCCTAAGGTCACAAGATTATTTCACATCATTCATATCATTATTCAATCATTATCTCAACACATAAGCACACTTTGGTGGCGCCACAGGATCAATCGCATGCCCATACATGAGAGTCAGCGCATATAGCGCTAACACGGCCCTGCAGCACCCTGCCTCGTACCGCTACACGAAGGGGTTGATCGCAACCAACCAATGAACCGCAACGCATCATAACGTTTGATCGCAACCAAACGGTGGACCGCAACCCAAAAGTGTATTTCTGATCGCAACCAGATTATGAACCGCAGCTCATGTATAACGTTTGATCGCAACCAAACGGTGGACCGCAGCCCTATATAATATTTATATACCTGACCGATCACAACCGCCTTGGTTAACGGCCGATGGTTCTCAACCCATCCAACTGCCCGTATAGCCAATTTGATCGCAACCAAATTGGGGTATCATGCACACATAACACATAGCAAGCACATGCAACCCACATTAGCACATTGGGAAAGGGGAGAAAACGTATAAATAAACTTATGCGTGGTCATCCACATACTACGAATATTCCTAAGGGGTTCATACATATTTCACCTACGCCAACGAGATACTAATTCAACTAGCATGCAATACACAAGACTCTTTTATCCTACGAATGGTACCCGAAACATCAAACTAGACTCAGGCACGACAAACGGGGTCCGTTGGGACACCTCGGGGGTCGGGGAAACATCAAACGGGGAAGACCACCATCCCACATTGGGAATTTCCAGCGGGTGGAGGACCACCAGCCGGCGGCGAACTGCTGGGCAGCGGGTGCCCGGCGGGCAGTCGCCTGCCCGCCGGCTGCCGGCTGCCGGATGCTGGCGACGCCCTTAGGGGCAGCGGGTAGGTGGCGGGTTCTGTAACACCCCGAAATTTTAAAGCTTTTTGATCTTATAATACGAAAGCAATTCTATTAAATAGATAACAAATGAAGCATTCTAAACATAGAGTCGGGGGTGTTATGCCACATCTGAGCTGGAGAGCTCAGATGCACAGGCTATTCTAACTGACTATCCTCAAATATTGTCACTACATCATCAAGGCACGCAGGCCGAAAGGAAAGACTAACTATCTAATCCGAGTTCTTCTAGCGCGCTCCGGGAGCTAATCATCTGTGCCTGAAAGCCAAATATATCTGTTCAGCGAATCATGTTGGTAACCCACTCTAACACGTTAAAATACAATATATATAAGTAATTATATATACATAGATATAGTAAAATCATTTTGAAGCAGGAAGATGTATACTTAGGAGACTCTAGTTTTAAAACCAGGATTAGACTCGACAGATAGGGATAAACACATTCAACAGCGATAGTCAATTATATAGAGGCAACATCATAAATGCACATATCTAAGGTCACAGTTTACTTTCATATCATTCACTTCATGATTCAATCAATATCCTTGTCACACAAGCACACTTTGGTGGCGCCACGGGACCAATCGTATGCCCCAAACATGAGGGTTAGCGCATATAGCGCTAACACGGACCCGCAGAACCCTACCTCATATCGCAGCATGAAGGAATTGACCGCAGCCAATTGTATAGACCGTCGATAGTTTCAACGGCGGATCACAGCCCTACACACCGCTGACGCGTTCAGTCGGTGAACTGTGATCCTCTTTTGGGGACTGCGACCCTACACACCGCTTGACGAGCTCAGTCAGTGGGTCGTAGCTGATCATAGCCCTACACACTGCCTGAGGGACTCATTCGGTGGACTATGATCTTTGGGGACTACGACCCTACACACCGCTGGCACATACACTCGGTGGATCGCAGCCGACCATAGCCCTACACACCGCCTGACGAACTCATTCGGTGGACTATGGCCTTCCTCGGGCTAGTGGCCATACACACCGCCTGACGCGTCCAGTCGGTGGACCACAGCACACGAGGCCCATGAGGTGGACCGCAGCCCTAGGAGTAAGTCACTGACCACAGCCAGGATAATGAACCGCAGCTCATGAGTAACCAGTTTGACCGCAGCCAAGAGTCATGCACATATATCACGTAGCAAGCACATGCAACCCACATTAACACATAAGGAGGGGGGAAACGTATAAATAAAACTTATGCGTAGTTATCC